GTCTTGGGTGAGGGGTGGTCATTTTAGGGGTACCAGTGAGTAAGTTCCATGGGATGGGAAAAGAATCGTACTTCCAGGAAAAAAGACCTGCTCAGACCAGACAGTGAGGTGACAGTTGGAGGGATAGAAGCCACTGGAGAGTATGTGAGGCAGGGGATGTGAAATCCTAACTGCTTGAGAGTGAAAGCAGCGGATGAGAGTCCTGGGTTGGAAGCAGCAGTTACAGATAGACTCTGAGGGTAGTGGATGCAGTGAAAGGAATTTACAGATTGACTACGGAGCAGAGAAACAACAGCCAAAGAGAGGAAAAAGAATTCAAGGACTTTATTAGAACCAACAAACAATTCCCATCAAGGGAATGGGAGAGGCCCCAGAGGTGTGGGTCCACCCCAGGTCTCTAGGTTGGACATTTTATAGGTTTCTGGGGACCCACTTCCTCCAGACTTCTTCCTGGTTGGTCCTGTGGGGCTTCCCCTTTCAGGACTATTTGTTACAACAGCAATCTCTTGGGGTTGGGGCCAACTTGGGGGCAAGAAACAGTCCTTCTTAAAGGGTCATACCTGTTTCCAAAATCAGCCTAAGTTCTCACTACCCTTCTTCAGTTTCAAATAGTTTCCTCCATATCAAACAACTGAAATACAAAACTGTGATTACCCTATTTGGGGACATGTTTTATGGCCACAACCTTATTTATATCCTTGGAGTCTTGCTGTTCTGCAGCCCATCATCCAATCACTGAACTGACAAGTTCTTTTGGAAGAAGAATGAAGGAGGAGGAGGAAGAAGAAAAAGAAGAAGGAGGAGGAGAAGGAAGAGAAGAAGAAGAGGAGGAGGAGAAGAAAAAGAAGGGGGAGGAGGAAGAGGAAGAAGGAGGAGGAGGAGGTGGTGGTGGTGCTGCTGCTGATGATGATATAGATGTTAATGCCTAGAGGACTTAACTGAACAGTTAGTTAGTCTTTAGTTTCGGTTGAATAAACTCACTGTGAGAGAAAGACATAAATTTAGTCATCAGGTGTCCTGGACATGAAGTTGTCAACATAGCATCCCAATTATGGTGTTTCAGTTTAGCAGTTGTTTTGAATATCGGTCTAGAGGGGCAGAAATCATTCTTTAAATGTTTCTCTAGGGTATTTGTTCTTCAAATTTATTAAGGGCATTTAAGAAATACCTGAGGATACTGTTTAGGACAAAACGTCTCGGGCCTGACTCTTGGAAATTCCAGTTTAGGAAATTTTAGGGGAAACCTTGGTGTCTGTTTTCTTAACATCTTCCCCTTTTCTTGTGTTCCTGGGAGACTTCATGGAAGTGGTCCATTGGTACCTCATATGGGACAATGTTCTAGGGACTGGAAAATTTTAGGATATTACCAAACCTGATAACTAAAGAATTAGAGAACTCTAAGGTATGAAGACAAAGGAAAGAGTTTATAACTACAGCTCGTCAAAGGAGGGAATGATTCTGCTGACCTGCTGATATCTGCCTTCTTGCAGAGGATTAGTCAAGGGAATAATGGCGTTCACAGACTCTTGTAAATTAGATGACTGTCAGGTAGGTTTGAGGACCTAAAATTACACAGCTGGTAGCCAGCCAGCCACTTATTTTGTCTTTTCTTTCTAGATCTAACACTGGAAAGAATTCCTGTTAACTTAGGTGTAAATGATAGGCTTATAGGAACAAGTCGCATCACGCTTCTTTTAAGGAAGAGAAATGGAATGGGTTTGGGGATAGGAGAGTAATGAAAGTCTCTTAGGAAGATGTGTAGAAATGAAAGTCAAGGTATTATTTTCCCTCCAGCTAGTGCTGAGGGTAGAACCAGTCAAGGTTCAGAAGGCAATAAAGAGCTCAGTGGACAATTTGAAAAGAGAGTGGAAGAGGTTCTTTACCAAAAATAAATGAGTTGAAAAGGAGTGAAAATACATTGATAACTGGTACACCAGCACATGTACAATACAGGATGAGGTTGGAATAGATAGCATGGTACACACCCATTATCCCAGCACTCAGGAGAAGCAGGAAGACCATGAGTTCAAGCCCAGGCTGAGCTACTTAGTGAGTTGGGAGCCAGTCTGAGCTACATGAAACCTTATCTCAAAAACAAAACAACAATGACAATAAGAAAGACCAAGAGGCAGAGGAGGAAAAGGAAACAAAGAAAATGAATTTGAATATACATTAGACAGACATTTTTCAGCACTGTAAGGATTTTGCATTTCATTCTAAGGATGATTTAATAGTTTAAGGAATGGAGAGCAAGAGAAGAAACAAGGAGATCTGAAGGACATAATTGTGATTCTCTGGGTGATATGTGTTGGCCACTAGCACTTGGATGCTGTCTATAGGTAAAGCTGATGAGAAATAGTAGGAAGAAGACTGTAGGACTATATGATAGATTTAAAATTGAATCTCTGGGACTCTATGATAGATTTAAAGTTGGCCTGTAACTGAGGATCAGAGTATTTTACTTCCCAATTCAGTGTGTGTGAGAATTTAGGGTTATATAGAAAGCTTATTAAATATGATTTCCATTCCAGTTAATAATTTAATGTGTTAGCCAGGCAGTGGTGGCGCACGCACGCCATTAATCCCAGCACTTGGGAGGCAGAAGCAGGTGGATCTCTGTGAGTTCAAGGCCAGTCTAGTCTACAGAGTGAGTTTCAGGACAGCAAAGGCTACACAGAGCAACCTTGTCTCAAACAAACAAACAAATAAATAAATACATTAATGAATAATTTGACATGTGGCATCTGATGTGCTGAAATGTCTTAAATTTAGTTTCCTGATTTATAGTTAAATTATTCAGAATATTTAACTATAAGACAACACTAAGGGCTGTTGAGATGGCTCAGCAGTTAAGAACACTTGCCTCCAAAACCTGACAGCCTAAGTTGGACCCCTCTAACCCACACAGCAGGAGAGAACTGACAGCCCCAAGCTGTCTTCTCAGCTCACCACACCAACGGTGGTGCAAGTACCCACATGCATGCACACATATACAATAAATAAAATGCACTAAAATTTGAAACAAAATACAAGATTTTTTTGAAGACAGCAATGGCATTCAAAACTTTCATGTACATGGACAGGTGTCACTCAGCACACCAGAGAATGTTGTTAATGATAATAGAAACAAGAGTGTGACATGTGCTTTGATAAGGGAGTAGAAAGAGATGTGAAAAAGACAAACCATACCAGATGTGACCTGGGTTTGTATTTTTTAAAAAGTATTTCTACAACCTTCATTTGTAGGGGTGTGTGTGTGTGTGTGTGTGTGTGTGTGTGCGTGTGTGTGTGTGTTTGACTTGTGATTCTTAATGAAACTGTAGAACCAAGGTTCCACCAAACACACAAACCCCTATTCCATATTATTAATTTTGATAGCAGGCTAACTGTAAGCATGTGTCACTTTGTTAATTTTAAACCACTGATAAATTATAGATCGTCAATTCAAGACATGCCTATGACCCGAGCACTTGGGAAGTTGTGTTAGGAGAATCAGAGTTTAAGGCCAAACCATGCTACCTAGGGGGATCTGTCACAAACAAGCAGGCAGACAAATGAACAGACAATGAAATCCCCAAAATAAGGACCTTGGACGTTCCAGCAACTTACTCTTCACTCTCAGTGATTGCATTATTTCTCTCTAGAGGTCTTCCTTTGTGTGAGGATAGTGTCAAAACTTCCTTTCTGCATCATCTAACTTGGACAAAAAACGGTGCTTGGGGATGGTGCAAGTTTCAAGTTTAGATCCCAGGTGGCCTCAGCTCACAAAAAGATGATTTTATTTTGTCATTTATTTTCTATCATTCTTACTGGACTGTATGTTCCACAGGACAGACTTTTACACCCACGACTGTCTTAGTTTAGGACCTGAGTGACTTCTAAACAGGAGAAATGTATCTCCAACAACCCTGGAGGCTGCACATCCAAGATCAGGGCATCAGGATGATGGGTTTGGGGTGCAGACTGCTGACTTCTGATGTTCCTATGTGATAGGAAGACAGCAAGAGGCCACCCTGAAATCTTTTGTGTAAAGGGCATTATTCCCACTTGTGAAGACTCATGACTTAATTATCCCCACCCCTAATTACTAGCACATTGGGATTTGAAAATACTAATTTTGAAGGACAAAAACATTCAGTCCTATTCTCTTAAGATACCTAACATGGTGTAATAATCTAGGTAATTACTTAAAACTATTCTTTAGTACACTGATCATTAGTTAACGAATATATCACTCATTTAAGTGGAACAATAGCATTCTAGAACTTTGAGAATTTTTAAGTTACTTTTACAGTCTTACATAGATATATAACTTGAGAATTTTCAAAGTGATTAATTGTAATAATCAAACTTTGGTTTGCTTAGAATGTTTCTGGTTTTTTTTTTGTTTGTTTGTTTGCTTGCTTGTTTCTTTGTTTTGTTCTTTTACATAATGCCTTCACCCTGAGCTTAAAATAGCCCAAGACAAGTAAGGAAGACAAATATTTTCCCTGCTTTTATTGTAGTCAAACCTGATCACTTAGGAAACATAGTGACTCGAATCTCATTAGTTTCTTTGTCTCTGGCTATCCTCATTGCCCACCACCCAAATTACTCATCAACTCTATCACCCATATATGATGCTCACACTCAACTCATGATTCTTTTTTTTAAAATCAAAACCTTTACAGGCATTGTTTCCTTTAACTTAAAATACCAATTTGTGAGCCAACCTTATTTTACGTTGCTAATTTCTTACCCCTCCTTCAAAACTCTCAATGTTTCCACTTTTAAGAAATGCTTAACAAAAGTGGAATACGCTAGACTAGTTAGGAGGTCATAAGAGTGAACCATGCAAGAGATGAGTGAATGAATGAAGTAAAATAATGAATGTAGTAAAGTAATAATAAAGTAAAAAAAAAAAAAGAATAAGTAAAAAAGTAGAGCCTTAGGCTGGATTGCGTTCCCCCTTGGGAGACTTGATGTCAGTGTGGTTATCTTTCCTCTGTCACTGGGAGCAGGGCCTCTCTTGTGATACCACCATGCCAGAGGTCACGCTACGCCACCTACTTCGATGTCGCTGTTCTCCGCTGCCTCCTCCAGCCCCACTGGTCTGAGGAAGGCACTCAGTGGTCCCTGATGTACTATCTACAAAGGCTGCGACACATGCTGGAAGAGAAGCCAGAGAAGACCCCAGAACCAGATATCCCTCTCCTGCCCAGGCCCCGAAGCAGCTCGATGGTGGCGGCAGCTCCCTCACTAGTAAACACCCACAAGACCCAAGTAAGACAGACCTGGTTCCTTGTCACTTGTACTAGCAACCCCAGCTGTAACACGTTCTCTCTTTCTCTTCCGGCTTCGAGTAACTGTGCATTCCCATAACTATAGCTTGGTAGGTGACTAACTCTTTTGTCAATATTCTTTTCTTCTTTTGCCTGGCCAGAACCTTTGGCTATTCTTCAGATCTCTATTTACCATTGACAGAAATAGACCTTTTAAACATATACTTTAGTATAAGCCTTTGTTTAACCAGAACATTGGAAACAGGCTGTCCTGGGAAAAATCAGAGAAATAGTTAGAGTAGGGATCTGACAGTCAGCCTCATAATTAAATATCATAAAGCAGGAAATTAGCATTTTATAGAGTGTCATTCAACATTTTTTGCCCAACTCAACATCTTAAGCATCTCAAAGCTACCATTGGGAATATTACTTTTTGATACTCAGGCTTACAGTTGATCATGAATATTGAGAAAACTAACCCGAGTGCACCCTGATGTGGTAACATTCCTATGAAGGTTATATTCTGAGAAATGACGTCCACTTATCAGGAAGCACTTGTTCTTCCCATCTTTCTCATCATCTCCACAAGGTGAAAATATAGAGAAATGATTAGCTTGAAGAACATTCCAGCTATTTGGTTGTAGTTAAACTTGAGTGGGTTGTTTCTGAAAATGTTTTCCTGCACATGCTAAAGATAAGCACTTCTTTGGTAGTAGACATTCTCCCACAGTTAGCATCTCCTTTCATGAGTTCTTAACCAGAAAAACTCTCATGTTGGAAAGAGCTGGGTGAGTTTGGAAAAGGGGAAAATGATCAAAATATGTCATATGAAAAATGTTTTATATATAAAAAAAATGTATCTCCTCCTTTTTTTCTTAGTACTTGGGATCTGTGGCTAAATGGTCTCAGTGTTAAAATTTGCAACAGAAGTTACGATTAATAAGATTAATAAGAAATATATCTTTGCCACAGCACAATCAAACATGCAAGTTAAAAATTTTAGGGCTCTCAGAACAGTAGGCATAGTGTCATTGAAAAGGTGACACCTCGAGAAAATAAGTATTTGAATTACCTTAGTCCCTAGTCATAGTCTATGTTTATTGTTTGTTAAGGATCTCACCATGAAGTGTAACGAAGAAGAAAAATCTCTGAGCCCCGAGGCCTTTTCCAAGGTTTCATTGACCAATCTGCGAAGATCTGCAGTCCCAGATCTGTCTTCAGACCTGGGCATGAACATTTTTAAGAAGGTGAGTATTCATTTTGACATCTCAGTGATTTAGAAAGCCAGAGGGGGCATGCTGTCCTTTGATCCGTCACAGGATGCAGGAGTAGAAAAAGGAGAAAGTATCAGCTTCTAAGTGTAACAGTGATTCAGCACATGACTCTGTAATCCAGTGTGTGTGTGTGTGTGTGTGTGTGTGTGTGTGTGTGTGTGTGTGTGTGTGTGTGTACGTGTGAATGTGTTTGTGTCCTATTCTAGATGTTCCACACAGCTATCATGAAGACCCATGCTGGTTATTCAATGTGATAGTGGAGGTAGCAGGGGTGCAGTGATGCTGCTTTTCATTCCTATGGCTCCATTTCATTTATCAAATACTTTATACAAGTAGTCCTTTTTTCTTTATTAAGAAATTTTTTATTCATTATACATACCAACCACAGATGCCCCTCTCATCCCTCCTCCTGCTCCCCAGCCTTCCTCTCCAACCCACTCCCTATCCCCTCCTCCAAAAAGGTAAGGCCTCCCATGGGGAGTCAGCAAAGCCTAGTACATTCAGTTGAGGCAGGTCCAAGCACATCCCCCTGCATCAAGCCTGTACAAGGTCTCACACCATAGGAAATGGGCTCCAAAAAGCCAGCTCATGCACCAGGGATAGATCCTGATCCCACTGCTAGGACCCCCTTAAACAGACCAAGTTTCACAACTGTCTCACTTATGCAGAGGGCCTAGTCCTGTCTCATGCAGGCTCCACAGCTGTTGGTCTAGAGTACATGAGTTCCCACTAGCTTGGTTTGGTTGTCTCTGTAGATTTCCCCATCATGATCTTGATGCCCCTAGCTCATAGAATCCCTCTTCCCCCTCTTTGACTGAACTCCCGGAGCTGTCCGGCTGGACTCAGCCTGGTGCTTGACTGTGGATCTCTGCATCTGCTTCCCTCAGTTACTGGATGAAGGCTCTATGATGACAGTTAGGGTATTCACCAATCTGATTGCTGGGGTAGGCTAGCTCGGGTACCCTCTCCACTATTGCTAGTAGTCTAAGCTGGGATCATCCTTGTGGATTCCTGGGAACTTCCCTAGCACCAGGTTTCTCCCTATCCCCATGATGTCTCCCTCTATCAATACATCCCTTTCGTTGCTCTCCCACTGTATCCCTGTTCCAGCTCAACCATCCCATTCCCTTATGTTCTCATCCCCCTTCCCCTACCTTCTATTGCCCTGCTCACCCCCGGTTTACTCAGGAGATCTCATCTATTGCCCCTTCCCAGGGCGATCCATGCATCTTATTTGGGTCCTCCTTGCTAGCTAGCTTCTGTGGAGCTGTGGTTTGTAGTCTGGTTATTCTTTGCTTACTTAATCCAGTGAGAGTCTAGTCTTCAATTTCTTCAGAACAGAAATTAACCCACAGTAGTGTTAGGCAGTTTGCTCATGCTTAGTACTAACCTCAAAAATCAAGACTTTCATCTAAAAAGTTTGCGTTCTTCTGTACCTGCCACTCTCTCTTTGTCATGGTGTAGAGTTAATCAACTAGAAAATGATATGTGGGGTGGGGGTGTATGTGTGTGTATATGTGTGTGTAGCAGTTTTATTTTCTCTTTTTCAAAATTATTTGTTTAATTATGTCCACGAAGAGCATAGAAACAAGTATTTACTTGTCTATTAGCTCAACTCGTTACTGAATAATGAGTTGTGTCTCCTTCACTAATAACACAGCAGTAGGCGCTGACCATCAGTCTTCTAAAAACATTGACTATTTGAGAGGGGAAAGAGGAGATATATTTCTATTCTTGCTGCAAATGGGTATTTTTGAGTGCTTTAAAAATCAAAGTGCTTGGGCCTGAACCTAGAATAATGTATTCAAAAATCAACAGCTAAAAGCTAGATTCATATATAGGTGTGTTTTTTAAAGCTTTCCAAGCCATTCTAAATTCTGAGTTACCCTTGATCTTGAACATCTTTGGTATGAATAATAGACTTGTTCCAATGTCTGTTAGATGTCCTCTTCGACCATCCTTGTGAACAGTGAAGTTGCCAACTAGAACAGTGGACCTCAGACTTGAAAAGTAGAGTTGAAAGAGAGGTCCAAGCGGTGTCTAGGAACACTGATCCTCTATCCCAGTGGTTCTCGACCTTTAGTGTGCATCAGAGATCAAAGGCACCCACAGGGCTCGTTAAGTCATAGATCACCGGGCTTCTCCTTCTGAATTTTAGATGTTAGGTATGTCTGAGGGTGAAGCTGCAAGCTTGTGGGTTTTTTTGGTTTTTATTTTGTTGTTGTTCTATTTTACATACCAACCACCGCTCCTCCTCCTCCTTTCCTCCCATTTCCTCCATCCCACCCCCTTTATACCACCCCGTCTACTCCTAAGAAAGGGTAAGTCCTCCCATGGGGGGTTAACAAAGCCTGACATGTCAAGTTGAGGTGCAAGCTTGCGTTTTTTAACAAGTTCCCAAAGGACGCTATGACTGATGGTTCTCAGGGTCTTCTCTGTGAGAACCCATGCTCAAACTCACCCAGCAGAAAGACTTCTAGAATGTATAGCATTTTGCTTGGTTTCGCTCCCTCCACTAAGACCCTTGTGACATTTTCCCCGTTTATTGGACGATACTCGGTGATGCCCTGCGTGTCCTCTTCCTCGAACATCTCCTGTGTTTCCTCTTACATCTGCTTTGCCCTGTGTCCGCCTTCATCTCTCATCCTTGCAGTTCAAAAGTCGCAAAGAAGACAGAGAGAGGAAAGGCTCCATTCCATTTCACCACACTGGGAAGAGGCGGCCTAGAAGAATGGGAGTACCATTCCTGTTGCATGAGGACCATCTGGATGTGTCACCCACCAGAAGCACATTCTCATTTGGAAGTTTCTCTGGGCTTGGAGAAGACAGGAGAGGCATCGAAAAGGGAGGCTGGCAAACCACCATCTTAGGTGACTACAAAGATCTTCCCCGTAGCCCACAGCCCAAGTGACCTATTTGTGAATGTGGATCTCAGGATCCCTCCCAAATCTAAGTCTTTCTTGAACAGTTTATTCAAGAACACTGGACCCAAATGCAAGTACCCCAGTATTAAAATAATGTGGAGTTTTCACAACCAAAGAAATGCAGATAATTTAATTAATTATGCAAGATTTCTCTACGATTATCCAGTAAAAGCCATATTTCTTAGATCTTTATAGATGCAGAAACATGGCCATAGAGGATTCTGCATATTAATTTCTATCTAATGACAGACTTTTACTTAACTTTTATTTAATAAAAGAAGGAAAGCAAAGGAAATAGGGACCCATTCCCCCCACCCCCTTGGATGGCATATTAAGAAGGGAAGTTTCAAATCAGAAGCCGACAGCCAGCAAGCCGGGACAGATGGTCCCTGACACTTGTCTTAGACTGAGGCTGACCTTGTCGCAGACAGTCTCATCAATCATATTGACCTTGATTATGTCCCCAGTCAAGTCCAATTCTTGCCATTTTGATTGAGCTTCATGCTCATCTTCATACCCTCTCTATTGCTGTCCTCTAGAAAAAAAAAAAAACTCTCTGCAGTCTTCTAGATTTTAAAAAGCCTCTTGTGATACTCTCGTCCATCTTAGGGAAATTGACCCGGCGGGGCAGCTCAGATGCAGCCACTGAAATGGAAAGCCTGAGTGCCAGACACTCCCACTCCCATCACACCCTGGTGAGCGACCTGCCAGACCACTCCAACAGCCATGGAGAAAACACTGTCAAGGAAGGTGGGTCCAGCATGAATGGTAGGCAATTGGCAGGATAGGGAAAGAGTGGAGATTTCCTTCATGGCTTCCTGTTCTTAAACTGATACCCGCATATCCTAGTTAGGGTTTTTAATGGTGTGATGAAATACTGTGACCAAAAGCAACTTGGGGAGGAAAGGGTTTATTTGGCTTATGCTTCCACATCACTGTTCATTATAGAAAGAAGTCAGAACAGGAACCTTTCTGGGGCAGTAACCTACAGGCAGGAGCTGATGCAAAGACCATAGAGGAGTGTTACTTACTGGTTTGCTCCTCAGGTCTTGCTCAGCCTATTTCTTATAGAACCCAGGACAAACAGCCTAGAGATGGCACCACCCATATTGGGCTGGACCCTCCCCCATCAATCACTAATTAAGAAAATGCCCAACAGGCTTGCCTACAGCCTGACCTTATGGAGAAATTTTCTTAATTGAGGTCCCTTCCTCTCAGATGACTTTAGCTTGTGACAAGTTGACGTAAAACTGTCCAGCACACCATGTTGATTGTTCTCTGCATCCTTATATTTTCAAAACCCTGCACCCTTTCAGAAATTTGCTCAGAAACTTACTTGTTAGCTATTCTTAGCACAGCTTTAGTAAGTAGCAGGGGATGTTGGACACTACTTGATGAGCACCATACCTCCAGGGAGAGAGCAAGGACAAAGCAGTCATACATATTTTAAAAGATCATAAGCCCAAAGGCTGGAGAATGTCTAGATTCATTGCTTGTCCACCTCCATGCTATACCTTCAAGGCAGGCAGCTCCTACAAATCAGTGGGAAGGAAGTCTATCCTCTCTAAGGCCACCAGATCATTTTTCTGACAGCTGCTGTATCATCTTGGTGGTTTATTTGGAGCAAATATGTGTCTGGGTGGTACCCACACAGCTTCTTACTCTTTACATGGAACAAAATCGTTTATCCTTTTCATTATTGGTATGCTCTCACAGTAGCGTGGAACTTCATCCCTTGATCCCTTTGTCCCCAAACTGTTCTAGAAGTATTCAGTGGTAACTATTATTTGTCAGTACAAATCTAAGTGCCATTACTCTTGAACAAAAAGAAATTTGTCTTGTTATTCTTCAATACTGTAGATAAAAATAAATAGTTTTAGAGATGCATTTTTGTTGATTGACAACAGTTTCATACGTGTGTGTGTGTGTGTGTGTGTGTGTGTGTGTGTGTGTGTGTGTGTGTGTTCTGATTACTCTCCCCATCCCACCTCCAGGCCTCCCTTATCTCCTTCTTGTCTCTGTCAATACCAGAGCATCTTCACCATCTCCATCCCTAATAGTTTCTTTCTCAAGTTCCTGATGTTTGGTTTAACAAAGTGAAGTTTATTTAAAAGCTATAAACTCATAGAAAAAGATCTCAAATAAATGAGTTTATACCGATGGACTGTTGTGTAACAGTAAATAAGGTCTATATAATGTTATCAACTTAAGTCATCCTTATAAAATTTAAATGCTAGCTTCAGTCTTAAGGAGAATACTTGTGATCACATAGTTTTCTATGACCTTCGCTATCTGTCAGATCTCAGATTGCCTTTACAGCATTCCATGCCAGTTGAGAATAGCTTTGAGACCATAAGTCCGTTATCTTTAAAAGTTATATGGTGGTCACAGTGTAAGAAATAGCGCAACAGTCGAACTGATGTATCAGGTCCACACAAGGGAAACCGAAATCTTTCTCTTGTCTTCCCAGTGCGGTCGCAGATCTCCACCATCACAGTGGCGACCTTCAACACCACCCTGGCATCCTTCAACGTAGGCTATGCCGACTTCTTCAGTGAGCATATGAGGAAGCTCTGCAGCCAGGTGCCTATCCCAGAGATGCCGCACGAACCCCTGGCATGCGCAAACCTGCCACGGAGCCTCACAGATTCCTGCATTAACTACAGCTACCTGGAGGACACAGAACATATCGATGGGACCAACAACTTTGTCCACAAGAACGGCATGCTGGATCTTTCTGTAAGTGGCAGTGCTCTTCCTTATGAAGACTAGGAAGAGTTCAGTGTAATTTTTACAAGATTGGATAACATGGGCATGTAGATATCTTAGACATATTTGCTAAATCTTAGAATGAAGAAGCAACCCATATAAAAATTCCACAAGAATACCAACCATCTTAAATGTACCTTTTGCTTTTTTGCAAGTATTTTATTATATTTGATCTTATCTCAGAATATTTTTTACCTAAAACCTTAGTGAATCCAAATACACATATGTAAGTTCATTTGTGTGTGCTCCACTACGCCTCTGTGTTTTTTCTACAATAAAAGTAAGAAGTTCTTTTATTTTTCTTTAGTTATATAATCACCAGGACTATAAACCTCCCATGAAGCCAGAAGGAAATGAATAGAAGTCTTTGAAAGACTTAAGCTTGCCTTCTTGGAAATGCCTGTTTTGAGTACAGTCATTAGCCAATGAAAGGGTTGTTATAGTTTACAATTATATTTTACCAACATTTTTATTACACTGTATGGAACCAGGCTCAGCAAATAATTTAAGATATTAAAATCAATAAAGGATCATAATTTAAACATGCAAATATTATGCATTTAAAATTGAATGTTAAATAATGATACAATCATGAGGGAGTCAGTGTTCCTGTGGTATAAGTGTAAGGAAGCCTTTGTTCTTTATTATTTCTGGGAAGGGAAATGCAGAGGATTAAAATGTTTTGTATTTAAAAAGCCAGTTAAGTGTTCATTTGGGCAAATGATAGTTTTTTTTTATTAACTCAGTATGCTTCATTATTTCCATCAACTATCTCTTTCTTGGCAAGACTGGAAGGTTTAATGAGCTATTAACTGTCTTGAATTATTTATAACCATTTCTAGCAGTGCCCAGTGAAATGGATTAAATGGGATAAGGAACTTTCGGAAAAGGGATTGTGGACAACTTTGTTGTCCTGTGTTTACCTTTGTGCTCTGCAGGTGCTTCTGAAGGCTGTGTATCTTGTTCTTAACCATGACATCAGCTCGCGGATCTGTGACGTGGCACTGAACATTGTGGAGTGTTTGCTTCAGCTTGGTGTGGTTCCCTGTGTAGACAAGAATAGGAAGAAGAGTGAAAACAAGGAGAACGAGACTGTGGAAAAGAGACCAAGCCAGGGGACTTTCCAGTTCAAAGGCCTGTCTTCAAGTTCCACCAGTGGGTTCGGAGCCCCTTCTGCCAGTGGAGCTGGAGATGGTGGAGCAGGAGAAGGAGGAGGTGGAGATGGAGGAGGAGGAGGAGGTGGTGGTGGAGGAGGAGGAGATGGAGGAGGTGGTGGAGGAGGTGGAGGTGGCCCTTATGAAAAGAATGAGAAGAACCAAGAAAAGGTATAGTTGAACTACCTGCTGTATCCTCAGGCAGTTTGGTGTTGAGAATTCTTTTCCATTTGTGCATGTGAACGTGTGTGTGTGTGTGTGTGTGTGTGTGTGTGTGTGTGTGTGTGTGTGTGTGTGTAGTTTTGTTTATTTTCCCAGATATTTATTGACTAGAACAGCAACAAGTCACTAGGGTCTGAAAGCAATATTGGTAGAAATCTCTTAATGAAGCGCTCAGCAGGCTTTTGTAGAGACTTAGATGAACTTGGCTTCTAAATCCAAAAAGTGATGTCACCCATGCAATGTTAGAATTGTTTTGTTGTTGGTGGTTGGTTTTTTTTTTTTTCTTGGTAATATTTTTTTCTGGAAGGTAGCATCTCACTATTCACAGTCTGACAGCAAGGATAGGATCTTTTTCAAGACTTTCCATACCCAGCCTAATAGTGTAGTGGCAATCTGCTCAGACTCTGTATAGATTGACCAACAGACATTTACTTCTTGCGTTTATGGAGGCTAGAAAGTCCAATTTTCCAGTGCCAGCAGGAGTTTCCTGCAACCTCTTCTCTGGACTAGGAGATGACTGCCACCAGTCACTGTGTGCTCACATGACCTTCTCTGCAAGTGCAAACAAATCCTGAGAGATCTAGTCTCTCTGGGATGTTCCCTGGCTCCGGACACCAATGTCTAACCTCATTTAATTCTAATTACCTCCCAAAGCCAGTCTCCAAATACCAACAGATGGACAGGGAAGGCTTTGGTGTTTGAATTTTGAGAGACACAGAAATCTAGCAATCTGACTTTTTGCAGTGTTACTTTGACGTGTTTGGTATGGAAACAGCTACCCAGCCTCAGTTCTCTCGAGTCTCAATGTATCATATCCCCAAGGTTTTCATCTGATTATTATTGGTTGTTTCCCAAATTTCATTCTTGCTACTTATCATCATGCCTTAGGATCTCTTGACTTATCAAGAATTTCTTTCCTGTCATTTGAAGTTTAGGTACAAATTATCACTGTTTAAATTCATACGACTTACACTAATTTCAGTTGGAGGTTTTAGCTTCCAAATGATGTTCATAAATTGAAATAAACCAGAGAATTCTTTAACAAGTGACAATCTACATATCATGCTGAGTTTACAAGTAAAAGATTACACTGTTCTGCAATTTGTTACATAAACTATGTATTGCCAATTTTTCCATATCGGATTTAACATATTAATGAATAGTACTTTCTTCTCTGCCTCTAGTCTCACTGATGCCTATTTACTCTGCTAACCTTCTATTTCTTCATCTCACAATTTGCTTATATCTTCCCAAAATTCATGAGATCTGATTCACAAATCTATTCCAATATTCTTGGGTTCTTGCTCGCTTATTTAGAATTTTCTACTCTTGTCTTAATCATGTCATATCTAGATATTATCTTAAATATATTTAGTTAATAATTATATAAACAATTAAATTATATCATTGTATAACTACAATTAAGCAACTATATAATTATTAGTTGCAGTAAATATCATAATAATTATATTAAATATTATAGCATGACATAATCAATGTCATTTTGACCAAAATTACCACATGTGGAATATTTTAAGGCCAAACTTTATTATCTCCAAAACAGCCACCAAGATGTAAATATTATGTAGATACTTACCAAACTGTAATTGGACTTTCATATCTACAGAAGTCTATTCTACCTTAAAACCATCTGTTATTTCCAGTGGAATCAGAGTTTATCTGCTTTTACAACCTGCTGTGGGGGACTCAAGAGAGAAAGGGAAAGCCAATTTCTATTTCTTTATTGGCCACTGGCCTATAATAAGAGCTTAAAATATCGTTTCATGACTCTGATTTCTGCCTGTAGCTTGATACATCTTTCTCCATGTCTCCAGGGAAAGCAACCTAACTCCCAAGGACATCTGAAGGCCTAAGGAAATAAAGTCTGGATGGATGTGTACAGAGAGTTTTCAGAACTAGAAAGGCTTTTAAAGAGCATATAATAATTTTAAAATATATGTAAATCAGCCTTCCAAAGAAACCCTTGTCACTGTGACCTTTTCCAAGGTGTTGTTGCAGAAAGCTGCGGTGTTCCTGAGTTTACCCAAAGGTGCTCAACCAGGAGAACCAGTGAGGACACAAGTCTACTCAGTCTTAGTCTCTCCTTACTGAGCCACCACTCAGGTCACCTACCCTGCACACAGTGACTCTGAAGGACAGCAGTGATATCTGCCTAAAAATAAGACTGTGTTTGTTTTGTTCTTGTTGTGGACATCACATGTTGTCAGTTACCTCTCACTATATCTCTACAAGACGGTGGGTGTTAGTGTGGTGCCCTTTTTAGAGAGCACGGGGTTCTAAATATTAATAGCTTGCCGGAGATTACATAGTTGTTAAATACTGAAGTTAAAATTTGGATCCAGACTAAAAATCATTTCTGACTTAGCAAATGCATAATTTCAGAGTGTTCTTTGGAGTCAGGATGATTCTTCAAAGCAGTCACCAGGTGATGCCAAAGTGACTCGTAACCCCCTTCTTACCTTGTGCCCTGACTAGTCACTGGAGAAAGAGTTCCTTCAGGCAAACACCATGATGATGGATGGTTAGTAGGGGCAGCTTTGCACCCAGAGGAGGCCTTCAGTTGTGGCAGGTTAACCACCAACATTTCTCTCAGCTCAGAGACTTTTCATTCCTGAAGTGTGGCTCTCTAGGGCCCCATCCCACATCTACTACCTGAATTTACAGACAAGAGGAGGAGGATCAGTTGGATAATGTTAAAAAAGGAGATGTTCCTTCTCACCATGTTGAGGTGCATGATAATGCCTCTGGAACCCCCTACCCCTTTCACACTCTACCCACATTGCAGTATTCATTGTTTGTCAACCCAACAGTGTGACTAATGGAAAAAAAAAAAAACCTTCGTGATTGTGGTTTAATTCCCTTCCACTATTTCATTTGGTGTATATGGAAACCTATGATACAGGGAGGATAGCCATTAGCACCCTTATTTCACAAGCAGAAGAGTAAAACAAAAGAGATTAGTTAATTATGCAATTGTCTTACATCACCATAAGCAACCAAGGATCATGAGCCAGAATCCTGGCTCTGTGATTCACTTGTTGTCAGTCAAACACAGCCAGAGGATAAGGAGGGAGCCTTCAGCTATTAAATGGCCCTCCCACTATGGGCTCAGCATTATTCCTCAGTAACAGCTTATTTATTCTTCTATAGAAAGAGTTCACGTTCTTTTTTGGGGATCCCTGTTTTTCATTCCCCAAAAGTAAAAGGGCCAAAAGATAAATTTCATAATTTATCTCGGGAGGCATCTCAGGAGGCTCACCTGATGAGCCTCAAGAGGAAAATCCAGCTGAATATTTGTTGAGTTCTATACATTCTACTTTGTTTGTGGTTGTTATATATATTGCAGTATGATGGAAGTATAAATTGGGATATTATTCTCCAAAATGTCAATCTTATTACCATAACAGTCCCAAGTTCGAGACTTTGATCAGTTCCAGAGAGCTAATAATTATTTTTGCCAGGTGCTGTTATCAGAAACTTACTGAGAAGGATAATCTCTAAGAAAATATATTTGTGTTCACTGTTGATCAGCCCACTGTCTCTGTCTAGGTTGTAGTTCTGATCATCCATCAAGGATATGAAAGTATATCTTGTAATAAACATTCAAATTCTGTATCATTGTAGGACATTCAGAGTGCAGTTTCTTTCTATTGGCTAGGTTTTAGAAAAGTGAGTTTGTTGAACTCTTGAAATTTTTATTTTCTAAATTGCCATAACATACAACTAATTTTATAAAAATAGAAATCTAGTACAAAAAGAGCTTGGTGGCAAAGTCAACAGGCTTCTCTTTCTTTCTCAACCATGGTTACTAGGATGAAAGTATACCTGTAAGCAACCATAGGCTTGCCCTCACCATGCTGATCAAAATAGTGAAATCTTTGGGATGTGCCTATGGTTGCGGAGAAGGACACCGAGGGCTCTCTGGAGATCGTCTGAGACACCAGGTATTCCGAGAGAATGTAAGAGAATTAAAGTAGATTCCATTTCCTCTCTTTCTCTCTCTCTTTCTTCTCTGCTTCCCAATGAGGAATGAGTCCTTTGACAATGAGGGTCAGTGTTCCCTGAAGCTATTGTATTTCATAGGCAGTTAATATCATCTTTGGGTGAGAGGATTCCCACAAGGCATCTCAGGACATCTAGGCTTAGGAAAGTTTAATTGGGAAAACTGGTCTGCCTCCTGCCTATTGCAGAGCATTTGGGAAAAGGGTTCAGAATCAGAACATCTAGATAGAAGCTTGAAAGAACCTTGCACAGATACAAACACTTAGTAAACATCTGTTGGTCTGTGCAGATGCTCCTTCAACACCTGGGTAACAAAGGAGCATTTTACATTACAGGAAATGGTCAAAGACATTGATATTCTTACTTAGAAGTGGAAAGTGGCCCTTATTGAGACAAAACAGGACTGTAAAAGTAGCCAGGCATCTGGCTGCTTTGCTTGAGAATGCCCCTCAACTTCTATATGTTTGAGATCATGTTCCTTTGAACTGTATGAAACTTAAAACTCTGCATGTAGGTTGCCATTAGACTGCAGTGACGGCACATGGTTTGTTACAGCTTACTTTCAATTGCATTTATCAAGTGTTACTTTCCTTCTGACTTAAGCAACAACCCACATCCAACAAGCCTGATCCAGGCTAGTTGCCTCATTTCTATATTGGAATTGAAATTATAAGAAAAAATTCTTTTTTTTTTTTTTTTTTTTTGGTTTTTCGAGACAGGGTTTCTCTGTGTAGCTTTGCGCCTTTTCCTGGAACTCACTTGGTAGCCCAGGCTGGCCTCGAACTCACAGAGATCCGCCTGGCTCTGCCTCCCGAGTGCTGGGATTAAAGGCGTGCGCCACCAACGCCCGGCTCGAAAAAATTCTTTTTAAAATGAAATTTGATGCAAATTTGAGCACAAATCTCTTTGGTATATCTTTGCAGAGTTTTATGATCACGTCAAAACCTGATGCCAGCCCATTTTCTCTGGTGTAGGTTTTGTCATGAAATGTTCATACAGTATTAGCATGCTAGAGTTCTTGCTTAATGTATCATCTACCATCCATTAATTTATCCATTTCTCTTTCTTTTATATTCAATTATGTTATAGTATTTTGTTCATGTGTATATATGGGAGGTATAGTCACAGTGGCTAACTTTTAAATTCCCCAACTCAGACATTTTGACCAAGATCTAGATTTTGAGACAAAAAAATTTAAAAAAAAATCAAAACAACTAATAAGACAATAAAAGCTTCTCTTACATCAGTCCTTACACATACATATTTTTAATTCTTTTACAAGATGAATAAAAACTGCCAAGGCTAACGAAAACACTTAGAGAAGAACAATTTCACAGACTTCAGCTTAAATGATGAAAAGAAGCGTCTTCCTGGAGGTGTAATCTGGCTTTGAGAACTATATTCTGTTTTTCCAAATTGATGGAAAGCAGAACCGATTGGGTCAGAAGAGAGGCTGCTATCATTACCTGGCCAAGAATATCTTGTGTTTCTGTGAGACTGGCTGGCCAATTTTCTACTTACCTTTTCAACCTGGTTTCTTGACTGATTGCTTTCTGATCTTCTAGACCTCTTCTGTACTCATTATAAAGATTATATGCACAAGTTTGAGAAACTTCCCCAGGAAAATGTCTAGTTTAAGAACTGTGTATTTCTGTGTTTCTGCACCATGGAATTTTCAAATGCAGTCTTTCTTAAAAAGTTAAGATTATATCTCACCTTCAGACCAGACCATTGGGTTATATATATATATATATATATATATATATATATATATATATATATATGTATATTTTTAAGACATTACTGTAGTGATATTCTTTAAGAGCCTAATGGTTCTAACACCCATAATAATCATAGGTTATTAATCTAATTTAATTAGTAGTCTCAAATTATTGAAAAGAAATTCATAGATTAATGCTTTTATATTTCTTGAAAATATAAAAATATCAAAAATTAAGATATGTAATTCCTTAATACTTCTTAGGTTATTAATCTAATGATTTATTAGTAGATCCAAATTATTGAACAGAAATTAATTTTTTATATTTCTTGAAAAATTAGGTTGTTTATTCAGAATAAGGATTTTAAAGTCTGGAGAGCCTTAAGCTAGATGACATTTCCCATTGAACTCTCACACCACTGTAGATAAACTTGCTGCTTCCACAGCAGAGATATAAAACTATACCTTTTTTGTGTTTTGTACAGAGCATGAAGTAATTTGTACATCAGAAGTTTATTCTCTTTATTATTAGAGTGAAAATCTTTACAAATAATTTATGGAATGATAGTTAAATCCATGCAGATCACATTGTATTTAAGTGCTTGTAAGCATCGCTTTATCACAAAGCAGGATCTATTTATAAAAAACAAGACAACAGCCGGGCAGTGGTGGCGCACGCCTTTAATCCCAGCACTCGGGAGGCAGAGGCAGGCGGATCTCTGTGAGTTCGAGGCCAGCCTGGTCTCCAAAGCGAGTTCCAGGAAAGGCGCAAAGCTACACAGAGAAACACTGTCTCGAAAAACCAAAAAAAAAAAAAAAAAAAACAAGACAACAAAAACATGACCTTGTTTCAGATGTGGTAACTTGAAAGTTCTCTGGAATTAAAAACTCCTGATTTCAAATCCTATAAAACATAGTAACAGAAGAATAAAAAAAAATCTCTCAATGATACAGATGGAGAGATTATAGCAAGATCATACCAAAAAGCTTATACAGTGAATTCCAAGTTCCTTTTCTACAATTTATTTTTTCCTTTTAAATGTCCAGGTACCTTTCCTGGGTCACAATCATATCAAATAGTAGCACAACTTATGTTTCCTTCTGAGTCACTAGTAAAAACTCATCAATAGGATTCCAGTTCTCAGGGATCACCTCCCTCAATGCCTACACCCAACTGCGAAGTTTTCCATCTTCAAGGTGGCCTCCCCAAGCTGTATCTTCTTTCTGGATCCTTTAACCCTTTCCCTCAGCCCAGACACCTCCACCATTTCCCCATTCCATCCCATCATCAGGACCTTTCCTGTGTCTCTTTTGTTCATACAGCCTTCTTCAAGGTACCAAAAACACTCTAGTAACAGTCATCTCAAACCCTTGTTATGAGTGGCTGGTATCTAAGCATAGTTCCTCGAGACCATCAGTGCCTGAGTGTTAATGAGACTATTTCCCAGGAGAGCTAACTACACCTTAGTAGGCAAGACCCTGACTTCTGGTAATAACTCCACTGCAGAACTTAAAGTATCAGCTTGGACAAAAACCCTTGATTTCTTTCGACCTCAGTTTCTTTAGCTGCAAGAAACAGAAATCGGAAAATAATAAAGTGAGGCCTGATGCCTTTTCATGCAAGAAATGCATATTTTACAGCAAAGCACCATGCAAACGAGACTTATCTGTTAATAGTAGGAGAAAGTTGAGAGCCTCCTAGTGTCCCCAGTAGATGAGAATATTCTGTCTGAAACCTTTCCTCTCGGTGTCTGTGACTTGGTTGCTGCTGATGGTAGGAATTGTTCCCTTTTACTTTGCGAGGTGACAAAGTTATTTACTAGATCATAGGAAATATACTATTATTTTGAGTAGGAGGACCATGTCATGAGACCAAATTCTATTTAAATACCATACTTTCTTTCACATTCAAATATGGACAAATAAATACATGGATATAATATTTTATGCCTCTTACATGTTCTGCAGACCTTTTCCCTCTTGGCCATGTAAGAGGTCACTGTACAGCTGTGGCTGTATCTCACTTGGTAGAGTGGCTTGTCCAGCATCCATGACATAAATAAAATATGAGTAAAATACACAGTAGCACATTAGATGGCGATGGTACACATCTGTAATCCCAGAATTCAGGAGGAGGATGCAGGAAGATTAGAAGTTCAAGGTCATCCTCAGCTATATAAGGAGTCCAAGGCCACAATAGGTTACTTGAGGTCCTGTCTCAAAAAATAATTAATTAATTAATTAATCAAAAACTGTAAAAGGCCACTGGATTTCCACTCACTACTCCTCTGCAAATTTCTCCATTAAATCTATCTAACTTCAAAGTGCCGGTGCAGGAAAGCTACATGCTTTTTCCAGTTGCACACAGCCTTTGAGTTTTCCTAAGAGTGGCCTGTCGATCCTATGACGTACTTCAATCTTGCTTCTTGAGTTATTCTCACTGATCTTAAAATCTTGACCTTGGTGAAAAGACTGGGTTCTTCTGGGACCAGCATGGAACATTAACTATGAGGAGTTTTTCCGAGGGGTGGTTTTTCCAAATACAAGCTCCTTCAGCCTGACAAGTTGGCTTCTGCCCACTTCTTATTCAAATAACTTGGCCTAGCATGGGGAGGATCTGGCAGCGGTCTGAGGGAGTGGGTGGGAGTCTTTGCCTCCGGCAACTTTTGTCTCAGACTAACGGTGTCTGGCGCTTAAGCTGGTACTTGTGACTTTTTCCGCTCTTCTTCCTTCGTTGCAGGCCCAGAACTGCCTCACTAAGCTATACAAGCTAGATAAGATGCAGTTCCGACAAACCATGAGGGACTATGTGAACAAGGACTCGCTCAATAATGTAGTGGACTTCTTGCATGCTTTGCTAGGATTTTGTATGGAGCCAGTCACGGACAGTAAGTAAAGCCACCTCCGAGTTCGAAGAAGTATGGAGGCCACTGTGAGGTGAAGCAGGTAGTCTTTCCCTGACACACCCAATGTCTGGGACTAGAACTCAGAGAGGAAAAGTACTGATGCATGCCCGCACACATGTGATCATGTATGTGTGTGGGACTGTGTGTAATAAAGAACAAGAGCTGCCTCCAAATTATCTTTTGACCCATGGTGTCCTCACAAGGTAATTTACCTCACTGAATAGGAATTTGGTAGTTCTGTCCCTCATCTGACCTGTGTATGACAATGGAGACCAAAATCAAAAGATAAGGAAATGTATTTACTAGTTCAACAAGTATGAAATGAGAGCCTACAACATGCCACTTGTAGTGTTTGGTATTTTTTACATAATAAACTAAAAGAGAAAAATGCAATTAGCATAAACATTGTGTGGTGATATAACTGGCCCATGTGCATACAGACTTAGTTCATTTAAATTAGGCAAATAGACAGACCAGCAGCCAACCTATAGTTCAGTGGCTTTAAAAGAAGCATGGAGGCCTAAGCTGCAGGGTGAAACTAGAAGGTACCAGTCACATTTGTACAAAATGAACTCTTTTGGGACCTTCTGAATGTAGACGCATTAAGAAACTGGAACCCAGGTTGAGTCAGATGCATAATTTGAGTAGAGGTTTGAAATAAATTTCTTTTTGGCATAGATTCATTGCTCATATGATACATGAATGAAGTTGACTACTTTATGGTAAAATCATTCATGTGTTTAGAAGCAGTTTTTTCCAGGTTATCTCCTATTCTTTATTATCCAGTTATCACACAAAGAGAAAATAATTGCTTCCTTGCAGACCCCCTGGAATAACCTACCCTCTCAGATCCAGTTTAAACTAACCATTTTATAAATTTGAAAACAATGGAGTGAGGATTGTAGTCAAGATCTTTGAAAGAAAATCCAGATAATAAACTTAACTATCTCTGTGTCTCTCGGTCCCTGTCTCTCTCTGTCTCTTTCTGTCTCTGTCTCTCTCTGTCTCTCATTTCTAATTTGAGGTAAGAACTCTGAGCACAGACTTCAGTATTATTTTCAGTATTGTAAACCTGGAAATAAACCCGTATTAATTGGTACAGACAGTCAAAGGCTGATAATCAAGCATGCTATTTCGTCAAGGATTCGTGAGCTAGAAAGTGAGTCACAGTGAATCAGACCGACAACACAGCTCCTTATCCATCAATCTGGGAGCTGTACATGTTCTTCCCACAATCCACAGTTGGCTCACAGGTAATAAGGATTCCTTTTGCAGAGCCACAGAATACGAATGTGTCTTCAGATATGTTAAAAAAAAAAAAAAAGCTATAAAATACCGTGGAGGTTCACAGCCTTTTGGTCTCCAGCATTTACCACGCTCTGTGTTAAGGCTGTTGCTCTGAAGGAGAGGGGAAGTGTTTCCTCTCCACATGTGCCCAGAGCTTCTGGGAACACATGTTAGCAGGACTCAGTTTCCTCCAGACCTGCAGCAGATCTGCAAGGACTCCACCACTTCCCCTTTGCTGCATAGCTCATGTTGGCCAATCTCATGCCCCTTCTGACATACTGGATAGTTTCCCCTAAAAAGCCAGAGTTTCTCACCAAAGAAAGTTGAGCCACATTATATTTTCTCTATGGAGAAACCAATAAGTTGATCTTTCTTCCTTCCTTCCTTCCTTCCTTCTTCCTTCCTTCCTTCTTCCTTCCTTCCTTCTTCCTTCCTTCATCCCTTCCTTCCTTTCTTTCTTTCCTCCTTCCCTCCTTCCCACCCTCCATTCCTGACTCCCTCCCTTCTCTCTCTCTCTCTCTCTCTCTCTCTCTCTCTCTCTCTCTCTCCCTCCCTCCCTCCCTCCCTCCCTCCTTCCCTCCCTTCCTCCCTCCCTCTCTGTCTCTGTCTCTCTGTCTCTCTGTCTCTGTCTCTTTCTCTGTCTGTCTCTGTCTCTCTCTCTCTCTCTCTCTCTCTCTCTCTCTCTCTCTCTCTCTCTCTCTCTCTCCCTCTCTCTCTCCCTCTCTCTCTTTCAGTAGAACCCTTTCCCTTTCTAAGATTAACCAACCCAAATGCTCCTCTGCACCGGCCATGTCAGAGCAGACTGTGAAGTAGACTGACTGTTTTTCTAATATTCACAGGGATCATTACCCTGGGTGTGTCTTTAATCACCAGTGTCTGTACTTTCATGAAGACCTTCCCAGTGTCCTAGCTGCCAAACACTTCCTTACATCCTTCAGCTGTGTAGCTTATTGCCTTTAATGTATGTCTTTGCATTCCAGACAAAGCTGGATTTGGAAATAATTTCACCACCGTGGACAACAAATCCACAGCCCAAAATGTGGAGGGCATTATCGTTGGTGCCATGTTCAAGTCCCTCATCACACGCTGTGCCTCAACCACACATGAGCTACACAGCCCTGAGAATTTGGTGAGAAGCATTCCCCACTTCCTAACAGCAGGTCTCAGACTCAGTTCTGAGAAAAACTCTCATACTGTAACCTGGAGGAAGGAAAGCTGAAGTCTTAAAGTTACAGTATCCATTTTTCCATTGTCACCCCTAACCCACCGTGGAGTCCTAACCACTGCGTCCTACCTACAAATTGACTTATCTTCCTCCTCCACCCCAAGGCTTGTGTAGAGAGTGGTAAAAAGATTACAGGTACTTTTAGCCTTTCAGAAAGAAGGTGATAAAAATATGTTAGAGGTTCATGAAATATGAAAGGATGTTACTCTGAGAATTATTTGAAACTGTGTTTACTTTTAAGAATTCATGAAAATATGCTATTGAAATTTGTTTTACTTTCTTTTAATTGAACATTATAGTCTTTATCTGCCCTTCATAAAAGCATGTCTTAATTAATCAAATGAAGTTGTAAGTAGTGTGAGAAGAAAAACTATTATGAAACGTCCAAGTCCTTCCAAGAAGAACAGGATGTCTTGAGATACTCAGTGCACAGATAGGTGAATGAGCATTCCTCCTACATCTGTTAGATATTGTGATTTCTATATAGAAGTGAGCCCATTTACACATATGGACCTATCTACTATTTTACTAAATGGAAGACATTATTTTATATTATTCTAAAATGCAAAGTTCATTTTAGATAAAAATAATTTTCATAAACCAAATGGAATTTACATTTGCTGGTGGTCAATAGTAATCCAGCAATGTTCTTGGACCTTTCATAACACAGACACAGACACCATTCATACAGTCTTTTTGGTCCTGGTAGACGTGATTTTTAGAGTTGATGATAGTGCATGTGAGTTCTTACAAATTTTATTATTCAACTTCATACATAGAAGAAATATTAGATACTTTAATTATCCAGAGACTTACCTTTGATCTGCTATCCCATCAGAATAATTAGAAGTCAAATTTGAGTCATTCTTAGGTTTCCCACTCTGCAAAGTCTCAGTCAGTGTCCAGAGTGAGCCTCCAGAGACCCTAGCCATTCATAGGTAACAGTTATTTCCCATAGTGCTCTCTGCTGATGTGTAGGCCTGTGCATACCATGGTGAAAATAGAACCTTTGCTCTTAGCTGGCTTTCTCTTCCTTGCAAGAGAAAATGAAGGGCAGAGTGAAGGCCTCAGAGCCCTGCCCCCCATAGATCGCAATGGACACTGTTTCTGTTGTCCTCCAGGGCCCTTCCTTTGCCTTCCTGAAGATCATGGGCATAATCGTCCCATAGTGTTAGGGTTTTATAAAACAAAGATATCAAGGTAACTTTTTAGGTTTCTAGATTCTGTCTTACCACGAAGACGAAGTATATGGTAACTACTGCTTTAAAGAAGGGAGGCAGAGATGCAGGTGCTGAGAGGAAAACTTAGCATCTCGAGGAAAAACAAGTATACAGACATTTTTTAAATGGCGACCCACCAGTGCACTGGCCTTAAAGCCCCCTCTGCACAGTCTCAGGTTCGTGGTCATGTTCACACACAATGCGACTACAGCATACATATCATTTACTAAGTATGTCCAGGAAAGTTCATCATCCTATGAATAATCAGCCTTCATTAGAAGTATCTAAATGAATTACTTAACATTTTACCACAATCATCCAGACCATTTGGAGAAGCTGATTAGGGGCTAAGGTTTCCATTCTAAATAAAATTCTGGCTACCATTTTTTTTTTCTTCAGGCCAAATAAAGTTCTCTTCAGAGCTTACAATTAAGAGAGGGGAAAAAATGGGAATCCAGCGTTTAAGAGTGTAGACTGATGTCTTCCAAGTGGGATAGCTGACTCTATGAATCTGAAGCTGTGCCAGCCATTCTCTCCTGTACTGAATAGGAAGGGTAGCATTCTCCCGTGGGAGCAACGGGGAAACAAACATCCATTTACTACAGCAGAATTTTGTCATCCTTTCATGATGTCACTGCTCATCAAAGCCCAAGCAATTGACTTCTCTCCCTAGGACATCTAACCAGACCACTTTCTGGTTATCTTTACTACTCCCAAACCTTCTTCTTGCCTTCAAACAGGGACTGTACTGTGACATCCGCCAGCTGGTCCAGTTTATCAAAGAAGCTCATGGGAATGTCTTCAGGAGAGTGGCTCTTAGCGCTCTGCTTGACAGCGCTGAAAAGTTAGCCCCAGGGAAAAAGGTGGAGGAGACTGGACAGGAGTCTAAGCCTGCAGGTGGTAAAAGGTTGGAAGCTTGAGCTCTCTGAATATTAGTGTTTGCTAACTGTCAGAAGAACGTTACCCTTTATCATCATGTGTTTCCTGATATGGTACAAAGTCGGGGCAGGGATGGTAAAAGTATCTTGTACGACTGGTATCATTGACATAGTCCAACTGAAGTATTAAAATAAATGATTTTTAAAGGCGAACACTTTGGGATAATTGGGTTACAAAGATTGACCACATAGATGGATTAGTGTTTTCATAGATTATCATGGAAGTGGCTTTGTCATAAGATTGAGCATGCTATGGACAGGTAACTGTTTTGCCCTGTGATGCCCTGTACCATTCTTTGCCATAGCAACACAGTGAGAAGCCATCATCACTTGCCTTTGGGTTCCCAGGCCTCCAGAGTCATGAGCTAAATAAACCTCTACTATTTATTTATTAGATGGAATGAGCTCATATACTCCAATTTCACTCTATAGTTCTTGATTACATGGTTAAACATTATCTTTGTTTTAGTCCTTTTTTATATCATTTATATTTTAACCAAGAAAAGAAAGCACAATTACTGACACCATGTTCTTTTATTCAGTAAATGGTGTTCTAGATGTAGTAAAAAGATAAATTGCTGAACTGAGACATAGCTCGTTAGTAAAGTACTTACTTAGCTTGTACAGTGTCCTGGATTCAATTCCCAACACTCCAAGGAAAAACTGCTACGTAATACTATGTTGTTTATCCTTCCAGTAATGGTGAATTTATCTCATGCCTACTGTATATTAGACAGCCCTTGCAAAAATTAAAATCCCTTAAGTTAAAAATCTTGCTTGCATCTAATGCCTTTGCTTGCTGTAGTGAAATACTGGTGAGAAATAAGGTCATGAGTCTAGTAGCAAACTATAAATTCCATACAAAACAGACTCATGGTGAGAAATTTTAACAACCAGATATGTTGTCGATAGCAAATGGTTTGCTTTGTGGAGCATGTGGAAGATTAAACAGTGATGACCTACTCCATTGTGATTGGTGGATTGTGCCCTTTGTGTAGGTCGGAGGCAGGAAGCATCGCAGATAAAGGCCAGGTATCCTCTGCACCTGAGGAATGTCGAAGCTTCATGTCTGGTCGCCCCTCACAGACGCCAGAACAGTAAGTAGAATAGAGTTTTGTCTCCAATGCAGAGAACTGGGCACTTCACATTGAAACAAAGTTTGTTTTCTAAACTTCTTTTGGGTTTTTGTTTGTTTCTATATTTTGTTTTTTATTAGTTTGCTTTCATTTCCTTGAAACATTGCCCTCTGCCCTTCCAATTATATTCCCAATGCCTCCAATCACAACCTTTGTGCCTATAGAATGGATCTCTAATTGTATTTTCCATCTTGTCTTTCTTGTACCTCTGCATTTCGCTATGCAACAAATAAACATGAAACGTAGTGTGCATTTGAGGTGTCATATACTTTCTTGTTTAAAAAGTCACAATTTTAAAATGGATTAATTACTCCTCAATATACTCAATAAATTTTTTTTCTTGAAAAAAAAGGAAGGGTATATTTCAAAAGTGGTGAATTTTAGTTGAAATGTAGACTCTGCTCCACAGCACTGTGATCTTAGATCCATTCCAGTATTGTAACATCAGTTTATCTCTGGTTTTCATACTGACAAAAATCAAAAGCATCTCACATTAGTGCCTGCAGAAGGTGTGAGGGTTACTACAGATATTAAATACACAGCCTAGGCCCATGTGAGGCTCATGCTATTCATTTTTCTTTGGGGAATTATTTACACACAAGTAGAGTAATGTACATTTCAAATATATGTTATTGTAGGTGTACAATTTTGCTTCCCAAAGCCCTTACTCAATATTAATTATTGTTCTAGCAATTTTGCAGAATATTCTAAGTATTAGAGTATCCTTCCTTCTCAACTAGTTAACTGTGAAGCCCACATCAAAAATAGGACTATGCAAATGAAATCTTCAAAACCACAAATGCCCACACAGTTCTTGTGGACTTCAGAATTGTAGAGATTGTTCCTTTTAGCAGAGTTAGTCAAGTAAATGGGCCTAGTAACCACATGGATTTATTGCTAAAGCCCTAGAACCAAGATGGATCTTTGCTCATTGTAGAAAATTAATACATATGTTTCAAGAATAAATGAATGGTGTGCATTCAATGTATGAATGGTATACAATGATTAGAAGATGGAACTATCAGGCTATCATTAAGCTCTCATTTCATTTCATTTTCGTTTAATTCCTTCCTCAAAATTAAAGTTTAGGTTTTCCTTTAAGGATATCCTCAAAGACACAGCAAGGGTCCAAATTTAGCTCCAAATGGGGCATAAAGAATTGGTAAAATAAGTTCCATGTTCAAGTGGCCAAAGGACTCATTAAAAGGCAATAGAGGAGACACGATATTTTCCCCAATTGATATTGGCAACTATTAAAATGATCTAATAAATGAAAATTTCTAAAAGATCATTTGGATTTTAAAAATAAAATTGGCTGTGCTAACACATGTTTGGTGATTTTTTAGAACTCCAAATATTCTCTTTGTTCAGTGTTCTGTAGACACACCAAATTCCTCTGCATTTGGCGTCTGTCTGTTTTAATATGCCTTGCCATTAATATTTCTGCTTGGAATAGTGTTGTGTATCATCAAATATGGAACTTTTCTATCACTTAAATGGGCCCAGGAGGTGATCATACTAAACATCTTTAGTTTAGCCCAGAGAAAGGTGAGAAGTCCCTCTGATAGTCCTGGCTCCTCCTCTACCCTGTTTCTCTTTCTCTCCCTCCCTGTTCACCCTGCTGCTTCTTATTCTTCCTAAATACTCAGCACTGAGTTGGTCATTCTAATGATGTTTTAATGTGATTGTTTTTCTGATGCTCCTTGCTGCTGATGTAGCAGTTTCTCAGGGAGGTAATAAATGACAGCTTCCCTGAATATTGGAGATTCTCTTCATCTGTGCACTTACAGGCTCTCACCATTGTGCCTCTCCTTCCAAGAAGGCAAGAAGAGCTTGGCACACTGTATTGCCCTCCTAAGTAACAGACTAGTCAATTCTAGAAATCTAATTTAAATATATACCTCTTTATAAATATAATGCCATAGGTTAGAAGAAGAACTTCAAATAACTTAGTCCTTTGATGACATTTGAGAGATAAAATCTGAATTCTGATCTGTCTCCTGAAGATGGTTGTATTATGCAATATTGTCCATTTTTGGATCAATTCAGGACTCTACCCTATAACTTGTAAATAAAAGTTACATACAAACCCATAAATAAGTGTCATAACACCACTAGAACATTTTTAAGCATCATTTCTCTCCAAACTACAATGGTAATGCATGCTGTTCAAGATGGAAAATATGGAAAACACAGAAAACTGTATAAGGGAAGTTGAAAAATCAAAATACCACTGCTAAAGATACCTCTGTAAACCTTTTGCGTTTTATGCTGAGAACACTTTGGAGCATGCACATGCAAAGTCACACCCAGACACATGATCACATGTGTGACTTCTAAAGGTTATTAACATTACTTTATCCTATTTTACTCATTTGATTATTGCTTTTTACTTTAGAATGTGTCATAAATAGTGCCTAAGTCAACCTTCTTCTAAAATATGATTTTTTTCAACTAAATCATTTTTTTTATTTTGAGAATACTGGAGCCAAGATAATGTAAAGCCTTTGAATTTTGCCCCTAATAGTACTGGCCTGTCATATTCATCTTAAAACATGACTTATACCAGGAAGGAATTCTGTCTGTAAGGCTGTCATGGGAGAGTTGTGCCTTTACAATGTGCACTGGGAATTGGCTAATAGTATTTGTAGCCAATGATACAAAAAGTCAAAAATCTATCACCATATGAAAGTCCCACGATATATTCAGCTGTCTTCCCAGACTTAAGACTTTGAAATTATATCCATTGTTCAATACTGTCACTCCTGCCTTTTCATGTCTTAGTGTACAGTCCTATCTTTTCCTTGATATTACTTCTGAGAAATTGAATTTCTCAGTCTAGGGGTGTGATATTGACTTTCAAAAACATATCTTGTTGCATAGAACATTAATGTTCCCAAAATACCAAGATATTTTCTCTCTCCAATGGCAGTATGGTGGGACATTGCTTTTTCCTTCTAACTACCTTAATCTCTGCTAATTTAGAGGATGAAAAAATGGGAATTTAGCTTATCATTATTATTATTATTATTACAAAATAAAGATCTGCATAATATTAGTCACTTTTCCTAGTTGAAAACCTTCTTTCAGGACTTCTGACTTATTCTTTTGGGTTGGACCTCTATTGTCACTTTGAAACTTGACAACTTTCTTCAACTTAATTAGCTGTAGAATGATATGTTCCCTGAGCATGATGATGAAATTTCAGATTTCATCAAATTGAGAGTTTATCGAGTGTCAAGTACGATACTGTGTTGCAGGGAGGGGTGGGACATTGCACAAGAGCCAGGATGCTTTGTTGTTGTTGTTGTTTTGTTTTTTCGAGACAGGGTTTCTTTGTGTAGCTTTGTGCCTTTCCTGGAACTCGCTTTGGAGACCAGGCTGGCCTCGAACTCACAGAGATCCGCCTACCTCTGCCTCCCAGTGCTGGGATTAAAGGCCTGCGCCACCACCGCCTGGCGAGGATGCTTTTTAAAAAGTTAAATGTTTACTGGAATTTTAAATGCTTCTGCACTATACCGTAGGTGGACATCTGCAATAGTATTTAGTCTTTTATTAAAGTTGAAAAAAAAAAAATGACCACCTCCACTTGGTTGCCGACACAGCACTGTTTCCAGGAAGAGCTCAGAGTCAACCTTGGTCTCCTGAAGACCACTCTGACTCCCAATCTTCTCATACCCAGCCCATCAAAGAACATTCTGCACCATTTGCCTAAAACCATAGCTGAGGGTAGAGGGGGCACCAAGCTGCTAGATGTTCTTTAACCCTGTACTCTACTTCTCTGTAGTGATGAACAAATGCAAGGGGGCAATCTGGGACGGAAGGATTTCTGGCGGAAGATGTTCAAATCCCAAAGTGCAGCAAGTGACACGAGCAGCCAGTCCGAGCAGGACACTTCAGAATGTACCACAGCCCACTCAGGGAACACCTCAGACCGGCGTGCCCGCTCACGATCCCGCAGAATCTCCTTGCGAAAGAAGTTGAAACTCCCCATAGGTAAAAGTATGTCTGTATTTACTTATGGATTCTCTTATTATCATGTCATCAAATCAATGAGTAATTGAGACAGAGCATGGCAGGCGGGGTGGGGGGTAGGGGGTGCTGAGAAGAAACGCTTTCAAGCTGTGAGCCTTAGGCTGACATCCTTCCATTCATCCATTCATGCTTGTGTTAAAAGCAGATATTTCCCAAATGCCTACTACATGCCTCTGTTGTGTGCGAAATACACAGCTCTTGGCTTTGCTGAATTTGAGCAGGAGCCACTTACCACAGTTCATCTCACAATTAAGTACAGTTGCAAACTATGAATTTTGTGAAGGAAAAACACATAGTGCTATGAACACAGACAACGAAGCCTGACCTCTACAAAGGGGTGAGGAGGACAGACGTTAAAATCTGCCAAATACACAGAAGAAAGAATGAGAGGAGCCCAAGGGTAATGTGCAAAGATCCTAGGCTGGGAGGAACTGGAAGGAACCAGTTAAGTGGGAAAATGGCTGACTCACTGTAGCAGAAGAACAAGCCAGATCGCAGGCGATCAGGGTGGCTCTTCACCATAGCCCTCCATGGTACCCTGGTACCAAAGTGTTAGGGAGAACACAATAATGCAAGCGAATGAACCTTATAAAAGACATTTGCGCTAGAGGGAATATTTGTCAATAAGAGAATCTGACTAAAAGTCCCCTAGTGGCCCAGGCATAAACAAATGAACTTTTAGATTGTATATTAAGCAGAAACAGAGAAATAGACAGATTTGAGAACTGTTTATGTGGTAAAATGTATAGGTTTTCAAGAGATCTGGAGAACTTGTCTAGCATAGCTTCTTGATTATCAGTTTTGTGGAAGGGACATTTATGGAAACCTTACTGTGATTCTCACCCCCGCTGGTGGGCCCTGAGTATGCAGAAAATAAGACATGGCCTCTTGTCCTTTTTATATTGACCAGGTCTGTTTGTCCTGCACTTATGTGCTCATGCAGTTTTATAGTTCAACACTGAACATTTTGATTCAAAACATGTATACTAAAAACGACTTGTTTTTGCTTCTATTTATATTAGAGCATGTGACTTTCATTGCTAGTTCAGTACATGCTGGCATTTCTATTTAATCCATTTGAAAGCAAATGCTATAATGGCTTAATTTTTCAAAATATCATTAACTAGGAAACTGGCTGAAGCGGTCCTCCCTCTCTGGCCTGGCAGATGGTGTAGAGGACCTCCTGGACATTAGCTCTGTGGATCGCCTGTCTTTCATCAGGCAAAGCTCCAAGGTAAACAGGATATTACTCATGAAGTGAACATCGAGATCACTGATTAAAAACTATTGGGGGCTGAAGAAAGGTAAATGCATAGAAAGAGTTACAGAAACTTTGGAATTGAACAAGTTCAGAAATTAGACAAGCAATAGAAACTAAAATATTTACATAATAAACTATCATAAGAACAAAAATAAGGAAAGATGCAGTAAATAGCTATACTATATATGAAGGATATAGCAGAGTGACAGAAATTAAGGAAATATAATCAGAATTCTTATGTACTTTTTTTTTGCAAAAATATCAGACAATTATTAGAGTCTACCTGCCTCTAACTTCCTTTCTATGCTAAGTTACTTAAGTCTTATTGAGTTGACCTAAAGTCAAAATCATGAAGACATATTAATGCTTTTAAAGAGAATAGAGCCAGGTCTGGTGGTGCCTTGAAGAGCTTAGTGGCAGAGTCTTAAGTTCAAGCCCAGCCAGGGCTATAGAATGACTTCAAGACTAGACTGACTAGCCTGGGCAATTTAGTGAGTTTCTAACTCAAGATAACAAGTCAACAAGAAGGCTAGGGATGTGGCCCAGTGATAGAGCACTTGCCTAGCATGTGTCAATTCCTGCATTCACTTCTAGGAGAGTGAAGAAAGAGAGAAAAGGAGAAAAAGAAAGAATGAGGAAGGGAAGGAGAGTAGGGGAGCATATTAGGTTATAAATTGATTTATAAATTTAAGTTACTCTAGTCAATTTTCTCTTTGATCTGATTTTCAACTGTGGTTGAGTTCATGAAGGATGAATAAGGCATTCAGTTTGGACTTCATCCAAATTAACACTGCACATGACTGAGTTGTTTACTAAAATATTTTCATATTCACCTTCTGATCTCTTACCTGGTATTCCTTGCACCTGCAGTTTTAGTGAACATCTTTTTTGGAACATGGGTGCATATTATATGACATCACTTACTAGATGTGGAAGCCAGAGAACAGAATCGTTTTCACATCTTAAACAATTTACTCTTCAAACCAAGGGCTAGTATAACCCAGTGATTGGCTGCTGAATGTCCAATGGCTTTCCTTTTTTCCCCAGGTCAAGTTCACTAGTGCTGTCAAGCTCTCTGAAGGTGGGCCAGGGAGTGGGATGGAGAATGGCCGAGAAGAGGAGGAGAATTTCTTCAAGCGTCTTGGTAAATGTCGATAGCCTAAGGATGCCATTCAGCTTTCCTTCTTTTAAGTTACTTAAATTAACTGCTCTGTCTCTTCTTTTTTTTTTAAACTGTCTCTTTAAAAAAAAACGGTCATTTTCTGTTTGTATTGTCTTTTCCTTTGTTCTTTAAATGTGTCTTTCACTGCTATCTATAGCTTCTTTATTACCAGTTTTGTGGAAGAGACATTTATGGAAACCTTACTGTGATTCTCACCCCCTGGTGAGCCCTGAGTGTACAGAGAATAAGACATGGCCTCTTGTCTTTGTTAGAATTTGAGAGTCACAGGACCTTCTGTCCACCCACTCTCTGCTTCAGAGTTCTGTTCATCGCGTGGCTGACAGGTGGCCACCCTCCCTCTGCATACTTCCGCTGAGGGGGAGTGTGCAACTTCACAAAGCAATTTGTTCCAGATCCAGACAGCTTTAATTGTTAGGAAATCTTTCTTTATAATCTGAAAATATATTTGCCCATAAACTTGATGATTTGTCCTAGTGATGATATCCATTACCACACATACACAGCTACACATAATACCGTAACCCCTCTTGCTCATTTCCTGTTCTCTCTTTTGATCTCTTTTGACTAAATGTCTTTGGTTTCTTCAGTTTTTATTTCATGGAAGCTTCTCTGGTTCTAGCACATTCTGACTCCTTTTTCTGTGTGTGCACGGGAGATGGTGAGCATGGTAAACTGTGGAGCTCTAGATGGAATATAACAGGCCGTATTTGAAATTAATCAGTGTAGCCAATAACTAAGCCATGGATATAGCAAATGTATGGAGAGAACTTAAAAATATCAACGTTCTCATCACATAGCTGTTTGTATTGGTCAAATTTTGCTAGTTCATCTTTCTATCAATGAATATCATGATAGGCTTTGATGTAGCCACTATGGAATCTCCATTTCATAAGGTTCATTATTTTGCTATATGGAATGCAGTTAGAATACTTGTCCAGGAAAAAAATTAAAGGACAAATTCAAAATCAGTTTGAATTCTGTATCTTTTCTTCATAACTAGACTTTGATGATCCATCTGAAGAGACATGCATTTCCATGCTTTCATCCAAGTTTCTTACTGAGCAGGAAAAAGATACAGTTGTAACCACTAATGCTGAATATGTTTAATTAATAATTTGTGGACATAGCTTTTCAACAAACTATGCCATTAATTTTCTAATAATACATGAATTATTTTCTCATCCCATTACAGAAGTTTCATTAAACTTTACCAGAAATGATGTCCTTGATATCTTTATGATAATGTCAAAAGTTAAGTGTCACCTAGTTTGGCATGATATGTTCTTCATGAAGGCATGATATTTCTTAAGCTTTATTACATCACAAAAAAATCATCCTATCCACTTGACTGTCTCTCGGAATTTAGAACAGACATCAAGTTTTTAGCATAAGGGTTCAAGTGTCTTCCTAGGCTGGAACTTTTGGTCTGTTGTAGATCACTTGTCTAATAGATAAAGATTTAGATTTGATTCTCAGTACTGAAGAAGAAGGGGGAAAACCCCTCGTAAGGCTCTTCCTGACAACCCAGGTCTTTGCCAGATTCATCATTTCAGTTCGTGCACACTTTACCCACTTCCTATGGAATTTCAGAGACAATCTCTCTACTGTTCAGAACCAGCAGCATCATAAAGACAATGTTTCTCTGTTTGCTTTTTGAGAATGATGCTAATGTGTGTCCTGAGGTCTGTGCCATGCTAGCTCCATGTCACCTGGCTGGTGCTATGACCATGTCTCTAAGTTCTTTCTGCACACTGGAGTGTTAACTTGATGCAACTGCAGTGTAAACCCAAGAGTGTTGGGTGGTAAATGTTCCTTGTTAATGAATGCTTTCCATATAGTATAGATTTCCATAAGCTATAGAGTGAATGTTTACATCTATACAAAGTTCATGCTGTTAACTGTGATAACATTCAGAAATGGGACTTTGGGAAGGTGGTTAGATGTGGAAGATCTCATGAGGGTAACACAACCATGTTTGGGTTTTAGTACTCTTATAGAACAGAGAGATGAGATATCTCTGTGCTCATACAAGGAAAGGCCATTTGGGGGCATAACCAAACCAGAAAGAACCGACAGTACTTCAACCCAGGATCAAACTTGTAGGCCACAGAATGGTGAAGGGCAGATATTAGTGGCTTACAAGTCAGCTGGCCCATGGTATTTCATTATAATTGCCATAAATGACAAAGGGGCTGGACTCTCCCGATTGTAGACTATTCTCCTTCATGGAGGAGATGAAAACATCTTTGGGTTGTTGTCATTTCCTTTGATTTCCATGCACTCTCTTCTTCAACTGTCAGTCCCAAACCTATGCTCCTACTTTTGCTTATTTCAATTCTGCCAATCTTATTCACCAGCTTAGAGATGCAGCAGTGGAGTAATCAGACCCTACGTTGAAGCTGTTGGGTGAAAATCCTGAGTTTTTATCTGTTACATGTCACCAATTAAATCAAGTCAAAAATGTGTTCATAGCAAGCACCTTAGAGGTTCAGAGGAAGGGGAAAGAGTGGGAGAGAGTTTTCAGGCCAACAGTACAGAAAACGTACTAGTATGACTTTGATACTTTTTTATGATCCATTTTGTTCTCTCCTTTCATAATGACACAACCCCTACAGGTTGCCACAGTTTCGATGACCACGTTTCTCCCAACCAAGATGGTGGAAAAAGCAAAAATGTGGTGAATCTGGGAGCAATCCGACAAGGCATGAAACGTTTTCAATTTCTGCTCAACTGCTGTGAGCCAGGGACAATTCCTGACGCATCCATCCTAGCTGCTGCCTTGGACCTAGTAAGTTGCAGAATTCCCCCACCCTTATTCACACTCATGCTAGCAATGGAGGAAAGCATGAATTCCCAGTCTTAACCCTAACAATGGGTTCATATCTCTTTAGTTTTATCAGAATTAATGTCAAAAGGGGGGAAAAGATGGCAAGGTTAGAGAAGTAAATAAAAAGGGAAATCTTAATAAATCACTAGGAGGTAGCATATGTTAACAATATCATCATTAGTATATGAAAGCATTCCAACCTCAGGATGCCTGAGTTGAAAAATCAACCTGACATTTATTAGCTCAATAACTGTAAAATAAGGGTTAATGCTACTACCGAATCTTCTTTGGTATCAGTTACGAAATACTTGACATGTAATTCCTAATTAACAGACATCCATTGAGATCTTCCACTGTAACAAACATTGTACTAGCAGCTACAAAGATGCAAAACTTAGCTTCAGAACCAAGTTTTGTTTTATCTCTCCAGGCTTTCTGTGTCTAGTCATCTGGTCTTTTCAGTGAGTGTCACAGCCTAGGCTGATGATTGACATTAGGGCATACCTAGTGTATTTCCACGGGGAAATCCTGGAACCAGGAAAAACAGCTTATAGTCCTGTGGTTGAAAGCCAGCAAGGGATAGACTGGGGCCTTGGCATGTCTTCTGTCCTCAGAGAACCTATATTCTGTACTCTGTTATGTTGATTCTTAATAAAAATGATGTGAAGCTACTTTAAGAATTTGAAAAGCTCTGACAGCTCAGGTGACTTTGATCAAGGTCATATGCTAATTGGTGCTAAAACTGGGATCAGAGCAGAATCTTTTAATTCCATTCAGGACTTTTATAGCAACACCATATGCTTTCTCTGTCAAGCAATTATTTAAATAAATCAAAATTAGTATCAAGACACATTGAAAATATATGTATGTGGCCTCCTATAATCAAGTACGTTGTGAATAATTTTTAATGATTCAAAAAACATTTGGCCCTTTAAAGATATTTATTATTATAGAAATACATGATAAGAATTTATCATAATAGGAAAACCTGAACTATTTTCAATTTCGAGTATCCACACCACATTCATTTTCCAAACCAATGATTCTTAACATTTGGCAACACTGATTCTTTTAGATTTGGATGAAAGTTGTGAAAATTCTCCCAAGAAAAGCACAGTTATAGACAAAATTTAACACGTATATCAGAAAATTAATGGATTTCCCACAGAACTGATCTATAAAACCTCAGGAACTCTACCTCGATAAATGTGTCATCACTAGCAAGGAGACTCATCAAGCAACTGGAATTACTTCATTTATATTCATTGATGATGGAAAGCCAGAAGGAACCTGTTCACCATTGCTTCCCATGTGGAAAACTCTTAGCATTTATATTAAGATATGTGGGCCTGCAGAAACACATGGCTTGTCACAGGAAGAACACCCAGAGGGAGCTGAAAAAGAATCTCATTGGAACAAACTAATGCTTGTTTCCAAATCAAGACAATTTTAATTACAATATTGATGGTCAATTTGATATTTAAATTTTCTCGGTGGTGGAGTTTCATTTACTCTCATTAAAATTATTCCATACTTGCCCAATTTCCAACTGCTGTACCCCTTACTTGCTATAGAAATGTGGTACAGGAGTTTTCAGCCACAAAGAGACTCTCTTCATTGTGACTCCTACCATTGGATTGGACAAAAACACAGCAAATAGAGATTTTTTTTTCCCTCATGTCCCTAAATGTAAAGCTGTGACTGGAGAGTTCCCAGATCACTGAGTTCTCATTTCCTCCTTTTCCGGCAGTACCTCCTCTAGCAGTGTTTGTTCTTTCTAATCTCATAAATTCCGTGGTAAACAACAGAAAATGGTTGGTTCAGTGCACAATTAATGTCTCTTTGCCTCCAAGCAGAGACACATGTGGAAACACACTGATGGAGTGACCTGTGTAGGGTGGGGAAGGAAATACACTCTTCATCAATAATTATATGTACTGGGGGCAATGTGCAGCCCTGGAGCAGTGGGTGGGTGGGGCTAGGAGGGGTTTCCATACCTGGGAGTCTTTAATTCTAGAAAAGACCAAGCATTGCGCCCAAGTTCGGAAACCCAAATCCCAGATGTCAGAATCAGTGAAAACTTAAAGAAGCCAAAGAGTGTCCTTTATCAGGCAATTGGGGGTGACTCATTGATTTGCATAAAAGCAAACGCAATGAAGAAGGTGTTCGGGATATGGTCCCCAAATACAGGCATACTCAGGACCATTCCATAGCTAGGAAAGAGTGGAGAAACTAAATTTGCTAGTAAATGTTGACAAGTCATCTGAGAGAAAGGGATGTGTAGGTAGGTATTTTGTTTTCCTGAATTGAAGTGGCATTTGGTGCTGGCTGTCATTTGTACAGGTGTGACACTGTAATTTGTCAGTATAGATCTAGGTTAGGAGTTCCTCAAGATTACTCTTGTGTTCACAGATTTCCCCTCTGTATTTGGTTTTTCCCAGCATCTAATCCAAACTGCTTCTTATTTTGAATCAAGTCCCTGTTTTATAATATTTTTATGTGTTCTCTAATGCATTTGTAGTTTTAGTCATATGTATGATATAGATAAGAATATGGAAACACAAAGATATAGAAAATATAGGTAAACTTACACACATACATACATACTATACATATATATGTATGCATGCACAGATGCATAGATACACAGACACATGGATAGACAGAGGCAGGCATGCAGGGGTGCAGGTGCACATATTCAGATCGAGACATAGTGGTAAAATCTGCTTTTTATCAAGTAGTTAACAACACAAGTGGAAACATGAACTGGATTCAGAATTATAGTATAGTCAATTTTATCCTACCTCTCTTGAACTATTTTGTCCTGTTGCTTTTACCTATGACTTAAATTGAATTCTATATTAAAACATAATTTTTGTTTTCATTGCTTCATTGATCATACAATTTAAATGTGATTTTTTTCAAATTGACATTTTTTATCCGAATCAGAAAGTATTACTAGGTAAAGGAAATACTAGAAACTTGCAAAGTCAAATATAACAAAAGAAAGTTTGTTTGTTTTAAATAATCTTACTATTATCATTACAAGCATGAAATTCAAGATCATTGATTTAAGGCCAATGCAGCTATTTCTCATAATCATTTTCTTTAGTATAAATGTATCAAATACAACTGTAATACTTTTTTTTTAAAGACATGTTTACAAAAAGGATCCATTTCACACTAAAGTTATATAATCTGCCAGCACAAAAGGAAAAAGAAGCAGTCTTGGTACGCTTGTGTTTACTGTGTTCACAGTCTATCCTTATTTATCTGGTAGAATTCGTAAAGTGTATAGATGGTGACTTCTAGTTTGGGTGTAACTTATTAGCATGAATACAGCTAACAATGATGTCAGTTGGCTTTAGCACCAATTTCTGGGAATATCAACACATCCCATGCGTTGGATTGTAGAATTCTCCCTCATCTGTGATTGGAGAAAATCTAATTCGCATTCAAGTATTTGGCCTTATAAATAGGTCGAATTAAAGAAAAAAAATCAGTCATATCCATGACAGACCTGAAGCATAGGACATTCCCAGTGACTTTAGGATTCCTACCCTCTGATCTAATGGCGTCCCTGTGCCAACCAGAACCGCTGCTGTGTTATGGTGCTTTGTTTTGCTTTCTTCTACTTGATTCGGAAATTTCTTGATGTGTAGTCGTGCGTTCCTTTCCGTTCAGTATTGGGCTTCTCCTGATGCAGTTAGTGCTACTACATGAATTTTCACTCAAGAATAGTTTCATTAACTACAGCACAAGTTGTAAATTCATTTCATTTTAGCAAGACATTTCTATGATTTTTTTTCAGAAGTTTGATGGTTCTGGATTATGCTCCCATAAATGTTAGTGTACATGGGCCTTGATTCACAATAGTCTTCTAGATATACAGAAGAATTCAATTTTGATTATAATTTTGCATTTGGTGTAAAACCAAATAATTGCAAGAATTCTACACAGGTGCCAATTGTGTAAGGAAAGTTTGTACTAGTCTGTGTTCTTGCTTCTGTTTTTTACTTGTTCACATCATTGTTTTTACCAGTCTGGTGCCCCAAAGTGACCAACTTTGTATTTCAACATAAGGTTTAAGATGTCCTTACACAGACATGATAAATAATTTAATTAGTGTCTTTGTCCATCCTTTACTGAAGAATTATTTGTCTTTTGTGGTTAATTTTACAAGATTGTAGGCAAGGATTGGTGGTGCATACCTTGAATCCCAGCATTTGGGAGGTAGAGGCAGGCAGATCTCTGTGAGTTTGAGGCCAGCCTGGTCTACAGAGTGAGCTCCAAGACAGCCAGAGATACATAGTAAGATCCTGCCTCAAAACAAACGAACAAAAAAATGAATCAAACAAACCAAAAAAAAGATTGTATATGGTGCCAATACTAATTGATCTTCTGTTTTTTACAGTGCATCACCTCCTTATTTGTGGCTTTTAATTTACTTTATTTATGTGGTGTATTTTAATGAAGAGAATTTTTAATTAATTGAAGATAATTTAAATAATCTGTATTTTCCTTTAGGGCAAGCACATTTTCTTATATTTCCTCTCCAACTCTCTCTCTCTAACTCTCTCTCTCTCTCTCTCTCTCTCTCTCTCTCTCTCTCTCTCTCTCTCTCTAAGGGTATGTGTGTGAGTTCATGTGTGAGTACAAGTATGTCACTCACATACATGTCACTCCATATGGAAATCAGAAGACAACACTGAGTATTGATTGGTCCTTGCCTCCCATCTTCCATAGTGTTTGAGTGAGGATCTGTTGTTCACCAGCTATCCCCAGCTAGCTGGCCTTCGAGATTCTTTTCTCTTTTCTCTGCCTCATACCCCAGGAGCCCTGGAATTACATATGAGCTGGACCACATCTGGCTTTATGTGCACTCTGGGAATCAGAACTAGGTCCTAAAATTTCCCCAAAGTTTAGCAAATTCTGCTGGCTCCTCCTTTACCCCAATATTC